ATCGCCCTTTTTTTAAGACAATTAAGGTCTTAGATAAAAAGTTCAATATGACATATCGATATGTCCTCGAGATTTTGGGATTAAGACTGATTGGAATGAATAGTTTTTGAATTTTTTGTTTGTTTATAATTCTGATGGTAATGGACGGACTATAAAGCGGGATCTGTGAAAGTTTCGATTTCCAACATTTCAATTTCGATTTCGAAAATTTCGCTACATCATTTTCCGATTTATTTGGTAAATACTGAGAAAACTAAATAAAAAACCAATCGGTCTTGAAATTTCTGAACATTGTAACTCAATTTCCATTGAATATTGAAACAATAGAGAAAATATCCCGAAATAAATCTATTAAAAGTAAAATATTATTAAAAAAAGCAAATAAATTAAAATGGCGAGCCAATGTAAATAAAACAATTAAAATATATTATTATTATAAGGATCTTGATTTTGGAAATTGGTCGAAAAAACAAATCGATATCGATACATTCAGTGGCAACCCATTTTCCAATATCAATTTTCTTATTCCCATCGATCTCATACGTCCTACCAGTAGAAATAATTTGGAAAACCTATTAAAAGTTGCAGTAGGGCACCAGAATAAATTCGGAAAAATCGGTGAGTGAAAATGTGGTCATCATGGAGGGAGGAAATACCATACCTTGTAGAACTTGAGGACAGCGAGCTTGACCTTCTTCTTCTTGTGCTTGATCTTCTTTGGTGTTGAATAATTCTTCTTCTTGCGTTTCTTGGCACCACCACGTAATCTCAGTACCAAGTGAAGTGTTGATTCCTTCTGAATGTTGTAATCAGAGAGAGTGCGTCCATCTTCGAGCTGCTTACCAGCGAAGATCAGCCTCTGTTGGTCTGGGGGAATTCCCTCCTTGTCCTGGATTTTGGCTTTGACATTTTCGATTGTGTCGGAAGCCTCTACCTCGAGGGTGATGGTTTTCCCCGTTAGGGTTTTAACAAAGATCTGCATGTTGAAACTGTGTCAATAGTGACTGCAATGCAAAAAATCAACATGATATTACAATTTTGTTATTTTACACAACACATAAAGTTCAGAGAGAATTTTCTGATGGATTATTTACTTTACTTCATAAACTGCACACCATTTTTCTCCCATTTCTAACGATAATGATGATTCAACACATGGGAAAGTTCATTTCCCCATGTGGAGAAATCATAATTAGATTTTGGTAATTATTCTTCGAGTCATATTCAAGTTCTTGTCCGAATTATCGTTCAT